CTCGCAGATGAGCGGCAGCAGCATCTCTGAATGAGACCCTTCTAGTTCACTTGCAACATCACCTCCATTTGATTTATTAATAAAAGATATTTTAGATATTTAAAGCAAAGTATTTGTAATGATCCATAATACATTTACATTATGGATCATTACAAATACTTTGCTTTAAAACTACCAAGTCCTCAGACAGTAGGAAGATAGAAATCCTGTACAGAGAAAAAAGATGCATCGAGATGCATCGATAATCGTTTTATAATCGCATCACAGCCTCTGAATCGTAATCGAATCGAATCGTGAGGTGCCTAAAGATTCCCACCCCTAACAGCAACATAATCTAAAACTAATTAAACTCCAGCAGGGCTTGTGTGTGGCGTTTCTGAGGGTTTGACAGAGCATAAAACTGAAATGTGTGTTTGTGTGTAAAACGTACCCGTGCTCCTGAAACAGCCATGTCCAGCTCTGTACTGATACACACACTGACCACCTCGTCTGTGTGTCCATACAGCACCTGTAGCGGCTTAGGGCTCAGACCCACTGGGGCTCCACCCTATATGTACACAGACACGTTTAAGTTATTTATTTAGGTCCACAACTGATGCACTAATAAATGGCTACGTTAGCCAGAGATACAAGACTGTACAATATTAAACTGCATTACAAAGCTTTTAAAATCAAATAGAACATTATGTCCTCCAAATGTGGTGACTTTCAATTATGAAGATATGAAACAATACTTTGCTTTTATTTTTGGAAACAACAATTATTCTAAAATCCATAGGTCCCAGTCTATGAGCGAGACTTTTAAATATAAATACAAATAGAAGGTTTGTAGACAGATTTATCATCAACAAAAAGAGCACTCAGTTAAGCCATAATAGAAAGGATAAATTAGATCATTAACTGGCAGCCAGCAGTGTTTATTTAAACATGGTAAACATGGTCGTGCTGGTCGGGGTCATTTTTTTCAACCAAATGTCATTTTAAATATGACAAACATTGTTGATTATTTGCAAAAATAAATCATTATATTTATATTGAGCTCACTGACTGTTCTGAAAATGCTAGCTAGTAATGTTCACATTTTTAGTATGGAATTCATACATCACAGATAAGTGATTAGGGTCTTTCAAAAGGCAAGATCCTGAGGCTGGGCCACCTACAAGTGAAGTGGCCACCAAATCTAATCTGAGAACACCAAGAAAACCAAGAACAAACCGAAATGGAGGAAGTACAGCAGTGAATACGCAGCGCTGGGCTTCATGTGCGTGAGAACTCCCACTCTGAGCTGTTTGTTCGCTTCTCAAGCTTTGAAACACAACAGTTCACACCGTCGCTCAGAGACTAAACATAGTGAATCTGTATTGAACCGAGACCAAATGATGTCGAGACCAAGACTGCAGGTTTATGGTCCACAACTCCACAACTGCAGCTACACTAGTATTCATTGTATGTAGAGGTTAGATTAGAGGACTGTTCCAGGTTTGTTCCCAGACTAATGACAAAATCAACAACAGCACAAACCAGTTCTCAGAATTATTCACAGTGCTGATGATAGGAACCAGACATCTACAGTTTAATGTCTCTAAAAGCTTCCTCAAAGAAAGTTATTTCATGAAATGGTTATGAATATGCAGCCTCACGCCTGAGACATTGTTCTATGATAGTTTTGAGAGAAGACTGTGATCTAAAATTTATTTTTTTATATCAATCTGTGGTAAAGCGGTACTTGCAGGGCATTATAAGACAAAATAGTCCCCAAAAGAAAACTTACTATCAACATCACACATAGTTTGACCACAATGATTCATTTCACATGAAACCTCTCTGAATAATTTTGTTTACGTCACAACCACTGAATCTTTGGAATAATCAGAAAAATCAGTGGACTGTCCCTTTAACTGGGTTGGCTTGTGATCAGTAAATAGCCAGCAAACCTTTATTACACGCCTGCCTGGAACATAATTAATGTTATTAACCAGTAACAAAGGTTTTAAATGAATGTTTCTGTTCCGGAACAGTTAAAGATAATTAGTTTTCAGTTTCACTTAGTTTCTGCACCCTTTTCAGAGCCCTGACAGACTATTTTAGCATAAACTACTGTGAGCAGCTGAACTGTTAGACAGGCTGAAATGTCCCTGTGTAGTTTGACTGCCTCAGACTGACCTGCTGCAGCACCTGCCACACCATGCAGGTAGTGTCTCGGGAGCCCGAGATCAGGTGGATCCCACAGTAATCAGTGGCCAGACAAGTTATTATATCTGCAGAGAGAGAAACGTGCATGAAACACAGACAACGCAGAGGTTTTGTGAGCAATCACACACATCTGGTTTGTGTTGGTGTATGTTCAGTTACCCATGTGGCGGATGTGCTGTCCCACAGTTTTGCCCTTCAACAGTGATGTCACTCTCAGGCTGTTGTCCCAGTGTCCTCCGCTAAACAGGAGCTTTCCATCATGAGAAACTACAAACAGCCTGGCCGAGACCTCCACTCCCGGAGAGAAAGGACCGGCCAGAAAACGCTGCGTCCTACAGAGACACAGAGAGCAAGGCAACACAAAACAATGAATCAGGGAGGAAAAGCTGACATGTCGTTTTCCTTTAAAACAAAAGTACCCTTTATTGCTCTTTATCACTGCTAGTACTCAGACTATGTATTAGTACATTTCAGTTAGATCTTCAGATCTTTGGGTTTCTTTCAGGAGCACCGATGAGTAGCTAAAATATCTGCTTTGTTTATGTTCGGCTTTTTGCACTATACAAAATTAAATAAAGGTCTGTCTTTAGTTGCAAGCAACACTCTTTGAATTAACATACGATCCTCATGTTTCATCCCGACAGATTGTAATGCAATACAGGAAGTGCAGGGGGCGATGTGCCTTCTGCTGTTTTGTTGCACCATGAAAGTCAAAGTCACCTGTCACACAGATTCAACTTTAAATGACGGTGGTGGCAAAGAGAGCGGAATCAATGACAGCATGAGGATTCATTTAATCAATTAAATAAATAACACGTAATTCATTAATTGATCATTCGTTGCTGCCCTACAAAAACACAACACAAGTAGACTTTAGTGCAAAATTTCTGACAGTGTTATTATAGATAATGTATACATAACATATCCTACTGCAGTCTGGATGTGAATTACTGGGGCTGCTCAATGAGCAAGACTACATTAGATGGGACAAACATTTCTGTTTAAATACTGTTTATTAAAAGATCAGAATTAAGCCGAATACCATTTATGACACTCATTCTGAAAAGGTCTTGGTTTCGTTTTGAGAAAAACACTCACTTCTGGCTGGTCACCGTCGGGTCTTTGATGAAGGTGAAGTAGTTGGAGATGGTTTTGTCGTAGGGCAGCCAGCCGTGAGTTCCTATGAGACAATTCTGACTCACTGTCACCTGAAACAGAGGGGACAGGAGAAAAGTCAAGACATTTAACAGCGACTTACTAAAATAAGACTTTAATTTTGAGTTCAGTAAAATCAGCTCGACTTCTTCTTCCCTCCTACCAAGACCTGTTTTTGTTTTTTTACTTTTTATAACAAATTTTGCTTTAACTTTGTATTTAACCTGGTTTAAAGAACTGCAATATAAAGTCTATTAATATTATAAATAGTAATAAAACATTGAATTTAATGCTTAGCTCTCTAAACTACTCATTACATTATTGTAGTATGTCACAAATATATGCAAATATGACATTACTGTATTATGCTAATATGAAATTGTGATATTATTATCATTATTATGTTTCATCAGCACTTCAGCCTTCCAGGCTTGGCTGAAGGAGCCCAGACTCACCAGAGTATCCGGACTGCCCTGGGAGATGAAGGAGTGGGACTGGTTCTTGGGAACTACAGCCTTTACCAGGGCACAGTTATCACTGATACCCTAGAAGCAGAGTTTAAACTTTAATCATAGAGAAACTGCACTGTGTGCTGTACGTAACAACGAAGAAGAAGAAACAGAAGAAGACAAACGAGTAACTAAGTCACCTCCACAAAGAACGACTTGAGTTCTGTGAGGTGTTCAAAGATGCTGAGGGGGCAGGAATCCAGCCGAGACTTCCTCTTCTCCAACTCCTCCAGAGACAGACGCACAGGATGGGGTTCCTACACACGACACAGGATCAGATGGGTTAATTCAAAACTACATTACCCACCGTGCAACTGGATTAACTGACAACTACATTAAACAAAAAACAAAAATGCATTTTTTTAATTAACCTGCTTCAAAGTGGGAGCAAAACCAAAAGCACTGCATTTATATGTTTGATCAGTATTGAATACCCACAGTGCACCTGGGTTAAAAGTCTCAGTCATATTACAGAGACAGGAATAAACTGTAGTGTTTGCCACCTGGTACACAAATTTAGGCCTGAAAGCTGTTCTAAACTAACACTCTGACCCTTATTCTTCCAAGATTTGACCACCTTTAATGATGTATGACCTATTTAGCGTCTATTCTGTGAAACTTTCCTTCAACATGGAAATCAGCAGAGATTTGGCTGCAGCTGGTGAATCAGTGTCAGTGTGTGAAGTCAAGCACAGGCCTACCAGCACCTCATTTACATGTAATTTACATGAAGCATGTGCTAATGCAGGTGTTTCAGTAAGGAGCCAATAAAACAACAGTCTGAAGTTGAGCAGTGAGCGCAGTGCTCCCCCTACTGACCAAACTTTAGAGTGTTAAAATTACAAAGACTGGAAAGAACCAAATAAACAAAACGTCTGTCGTGGTTGTGTAGTGTGACTGTTTAGAACAGCATTTTTAAGAAACGCCCTCTGCACTAGCTGTGCGCTCATTTTACGATCAGATTTGACCGTATACAACTTTGATAAACAAGAGCCACTGTGTATGAGCACATAAAGGCTCTATTGTTTGGTCACTCTGCTCTTCAGCCACGGACCTTCAGCAGCTGGCAGGGTGTCTGGCCGAAGTTGCTGATCATTCCCTCTAAAGCTTTCCTCTCCTTCTCATCCGTGATGGCGTCCAGATCTACAGCGCCTGCAACAGAAACAGATGTGAGTCGTGGGGAAGCTCAGACAGATCAAACGCACCATGTTGTTCTCTAAGTGACTTAAATCAAAGTGCTGCTGTACCATCAACCCCACACGTCACTATCAGCACAAAACCTTTCATCTCTTGTCTTGTAAAACTGCAACGATGGAGGTGAATAATGAGTTGAACGTGTGGCTGTTTATAGGAGGAATAACGTTAACGCGGCTCACACACCAGCTAAAGCTTTGGGAGTTGGAAACTGAAACTGGGGAGCGGTGACGCCCTGATAGGTAGTTAGCTAAACTATCTTACACTCTTTGTGTTATTAGCATATTCATCATAGCTGTCTTACCTTCATATGTGCAGTAATAAAAAACGTTGAGGGCCTCTACAGCAGCTGGGCCTCTCTGCTTATAACCAAAGATCAGATCGATCCACTCGTGCAGATGCGCAGAAACATACTCAGATTCCTGAAACACAAACACACACATGCACACTTAGGTGTTCACTGACCTACATTACAGACCCAAAGTTTGGAAGCAACACTTAATATTGAAGAGATAAAGGCTACATTTACTGATATCCTCCTACAGCTTTAATGACAGTCTGACATATCTGAGGCATTTTTTCATGAAGGTTCAGCTGCTGTGTTCCTCTGTACAGCCTTACTGTCAAATGTTAAAGAAAAGATCTTGACATCAGTTTGGGGAACGTGGCTGAGGCATAGAAAGAGTTTATTCATTTTTTGTACTGTTGTGTGCAAAAACGAATCCTCTACAGGGAGCAAAAATAAATAAGTTTGTGCACAATTTCTATTTACTTGCTCAGTTTAATATAGAACAAAATATAAAATGTGCCAAAACTTTTGCCCAGGCCACATTTTATTTTTATTCAGCAAAACATAACATACAAACATTTGTTATATGTGTAAATTATATTATCATGTTATTCATATTAAATTCAGCAAATAAGCAGTAACTGTGCATTAAAATGTGTTGAAGTGTGAAAAACACGTCATTTGACTGTAGATGTTCAAGTTTTTGCACATGACTCTATATGATGGGCACAGGGTACAGTTTAGGATTCGACACAATCTTCACCCCTGCCACATTGGGACATATGTTCAGCACCCAAGTTTGTCCAATTTGTTGCTCTCTATGGTCCTGTTCACACCTGGCATTAACATCTGTCTCGAGTGATCTGATCACAGGTGGACGGTGAGGCGTACAGCCGTCCACACCTGCTATTTCCATATGTCTCTAATGTGTCTCCAGTGACCACTTATGGTCAGATTTCATGACCGGAGAACAGATATTGGTCACATTTACTACATCAGTCTCTCACTGCAACAACAAACAGAGGAGGAATGTATCCAACTTGTAAATAAATGGAGAGAAGACTAAACAATAAGCAATGCAGCTGCAGCTGAAGAAGTCCTTTAATGCTGCTGAGGACACATCCAGACGTTTTAGGAACATCTGCAGGTGAAGCTGATATTTGATTTTTCATGGCATTATTAAAAGAATAAATTTCTGCCAATTACACAGAGACTTTCAGAATCACTGCTTGCTTCCATGATTTTGGCCTGTAGTGTTTGAAGTTACATGCTGGACATTTCTTTGAGAATAAAGCACAATAAAGAAACAGCTTTACTTAGTGAAAAAGTACAAATATGTCATCTCTCAAAGAAAACGCTCATCCTTTCACTGTATTCTATGCCCTTCAGGCATTTTCAGGCCATCAAGCACAAAGGAAAGAAAACAGAGTGACCGAGGATAAGGAATTCTGGGACACAGTCGGTATTCAATTACTTGGTTTTCCCTGGAGGCCTCAGATTCAGGTCAGTAGGGAGAAAAGTGAAAAGATGAGGTAAGAAAAGGCCTCACCAGGGCTTTGCGATGCTTGTAAATGAAATCCTCTGGAGATTTGGCCCATTTAGGCAAAACCACATCATTCACACGCTCTTTAGATATCTGCAGGCGACCCAGGTCAAAGGCTACCAGGAAGACGGAGAAGGAAAATGAGGGAAAAAACAGAAAAATGAATAGTTAAAAGAACATAAAAATAACAACCCAAATGTAATAAATCAGCCAAGACAAGTTTTTACTAGGTGCTGGAGCTTTGAGGCTAATGTAGCTAACAAGGAATGGAATTTTACACGCCACCAAATATCATTAAACAAACTGCATGTCTACATCATCACAGACCGGTTTTAAACCAAGCTGAGTTTGGATAAACCTCTAACAGACTTCTGTATGTGGTTTTGACACTGTATGGAAAACTGTTCTTTATAAAAATGGACAAAAGTACTGACTTATAATTGTCTAATTACTATTCTGTACTGATATAATGACCGACAGCTGAAATAAGGTTTCACTGAATTGAATCCACTTAAATGATCAGTGCTGTTTTCAAACGTGGTAAACGTCCATGTGCCCAGGCTTTTGTATCACTGCTGTTTTTATAGAAGGACAATCCTAATATTAACGCTCTTTTACGCTACACTAACTATGAAGGTCTTGCTCACCATTTTGATTCTCAAGGAACTCTGGGAAGTAGAAGAACTCTGGTATTAGCTCTTTAACGTCATTGGGGTTGTCCATCAGCGTCTGCCAGGTGGCGGGGATGGAGTGGAACTGTCTGTCCGCACAATCAAACCTGGAGGAGAGAATCCAATTCAATCCAGTCCAATTCATTTAATTTCAACCCAATTCAATTCAATTCAGTAGTCACAAGGCAGCCCCATAGAAATCCAGGCCCAAAATAAAGAGCTAAGATGAAAAACACAAGGAAATGAACTCTGAGAGGAACCAAGACTGAAAAGTGTCACAAATCCTTTTCTGGGCTGCACTAGATGATGAAATTACAGCAGCAATGAGAGTTAAGAGAATTATGAATACAGGAATGAAACAAGCCTAAACAGTACACAGAAGAGTTCAGACCAACCAATGAAAACCAATGACTTCTGTTCAGGGCCGGCCTGAGTGACTCAAATCCTTGAGTATTTGTTCGTTACATTGGTGTTCAGTTCTCTATTTAGTATTCAGATTCATATTTTAAAGCCACAAAAACTGTGGATAAAAATGAATTTTCTGAGCAAAGGCCTTCAGCAGGGCAGTAAATGTTTACGTTTGATAAATGTTAAAAATAAATTATAGCTAGTTTACGTCTCCAGACATCCATGTCACCTCAATTCAGGGTGCAACAAACTGCACTGCTTTCCATGTGGCTATAAAAGCTAAACGAGCAAAGCTAACTCAGACATCACACAGCTGAGAGCACCTCAAATTCGCTGATGATTAAAAATCGCTCAGTGCACAGCTGCAGTGTATCTGTTCCATCAGGCAGAAAACGAGTCTTCGAGTGCTGGTTCAGAAACATCAGTGAGTATCTGAAGCCTGTAAATTAGTAGGGCTGCCCTGAACAGCAATGCCAGAAGGTTTTCTCTAAAAAGACAGGCTGAGAATCAGCAAGTGAGGTGAACACACCAAGTGTTAGACGTGAGAGCCGTAACATTAACATGAACAGGTAAGGAACTCAGGATCGTGTAAGGAACTCAGGATCGTGTAAGGCCGGTGTACAAATCCAGAACTGATTAGCAGGTTGTGCAGGAACCAGCAGCCAACAGTCTAAATATCAACTATAACGGGAGTTTTGTTGTTTGGTTGGAGAAAAAAAAACAGCAGCAGGATCAGAAAACAGAAACTCCCAAACCTCCAACCATATAACAAACAGGATGGCTGTAACTTCACCGTCAAACAATATAACAATCCGTTTAATTTGCAACAGCAGGATGAATATAACGTTGTGAAGTCACAACTGTTCTGTATTTCTGTACTATCTGACTTTGTGATGATACAGAAAACATCAAGTTCAACTGATGTAGTGACACAGTGAAAATGTAGTGCTCACACTTTAATAAGCACTGAGAGAGGGAAACCGATGAGACCGAAGTGGAGAGTAGGATAAGTAAAGCAGGGTAAGTAAAAAGACTGGAGAACTGAAAAGCCAAAGAAAAGTGTAGAAAAGAGAAACAGAGGGAAAGACAGAAAAAGAAGCAAGTGAAGGTGTTTTACCTGCCGCTCTGCAGCTGTATGTGCAGCGAGGTGAAGGGCTCCACTCTGATCAGGTAGTGCATCACTCCTGCGGCGTTGGAGTAATGAGTGCCGTAGTGGAAACGGTCTATTGTGCCTGTAGGGTCCTCAAAACTATCATACCTACAGAGAGAAACAGATGCTGGATGATTTCTACTGTTCTCCCTCTGTTTAATCTTCACACTTTCTGCACTCTAAAATCTTAATATGTTACTTTATTATTTTTACTACCTCCAATCTGCGTAATTCCAGCTTTGGCATGAACTATTATAAGATACGCAAACACTAATAGAACCATTATGTCAATAAAGCTGCCTGAACTGCACTGAGGGACAGAACAACGGAAACACACTTTTCTTTCACTGCCTTGGCGTTCTTTTCGTTCAGGACGGCTACAGGTTTGGAGAGATCCCGGAACACCCGTGGGTCGGACAGGTCCAGTTCCTCCGAGATGTAATCAGACAGGATCCAGGGAAACTGCAGGGATGATAACAAACAAGCCAGCTTTTACTCTGTGAACGAGTCTAATCAGGGAATCCTGAGCGATTAAGAGTTCAGGGTAGAGCAGTTTTACCACAGGGTACTGCGCCAGGTCGTTGTAGGTTCTCCCTGCGATGGTGTTCAGCTGCATCAGGTAGTCAAAGTTAGAGATCTCTCTGTTCACCCATTTCTGAAACAAAGGAAAAGGTCATCGTTTTCCATAAACATCCTGTTCTGCACAGGGTAACCCAGCTTATTTTGAATCCTTCCAATCCCTTATCTCAGAGAGCTACAGCACTGCACAATTACTGTGTTACAGCACTGCACAGTTACTGTAGAGTGTTATAGCACTGCACAGTTACTGTAGAGTGTTACAGCACTGCACAGTTACTGTAGAGTGTTATAGCACTGCACAGGTACTGTAGAATGTTATAGCACTGCACAATTACTGTAGAGTGTTATAGCACTGCGCAGTTACTGTAGAGTTTTATAGCACTGCACAGTTACTGTAGAGTTTTATAGCACTGCACAGTTACTGTAAAGTGTTATAGCACTGCACAGGTACTGTAGAGTGTTATAGCACTGCACACTTACTGTAGAGTGTTATAGCACTGCAGAGTTACTGTAGAGTGTTATAGCACTGCACAGGTACTGTAGAGTGTTATAGCACTGCACACTTACTGTAGAGTGTTATAGCACTGCAGAGTTACTGTAGAGTGTTATAGCACTGCACAGGTACTGTAGAATGTTATAGCACTGCACAATTACTGTAGAGTGTTATAGCACTGCACAGGTATTGTAGAGTGTTATAGCACTGCACAGGTACTGTAGAGTGTTATAGCACTGCACAGGTACTGTAGAGTGTTATAGCACTGCACAGGTACTGTAGAGTTTTATAGCACTGCACAGTTACTGTAGAGTGTTATAGCACTGCACAGGTACTGTAGAGTGTTATAGCACTGCACAGGTACTGTAGAGTTTTATAGCACTGCACAGTTACTGTAGAGTGTTATAGCACTGCACAGTTACTGTAGAGTGTTATAGCACTGCACAGTTACTGTAGAGTGTTATAGCACTCGTCTAGAAGCCCAGTCTATAACAGGTGTTCGTTTCTGCTGCATGACCTGCCTTTGACCACTGACCTGTGTGAGTCCGGAGGCTTTGAGCAGCTCCTGAGGTGAGCGAGTGCCATGGAGAGAGAGAGAGCAAAGCAGCAGCATCCGGCTGTACACTTTATTACGCACCTGTCAATCAGAGAGTAAACGAAACAGAGACAGAGACAGAGAGAGAGAGAGAGAGAGAGAGAGAGAGAGAGAGGGAGAGAGAGAGAGAGAGAGAGAGAGAGAGAGAGGGAGAGAGAAATATGCTTAATTTACAGTGTAAACAGCATTTTGAACCCTTAAGAAAACAAAAGACTTATGGTTACATCTAAGAAATATCAACTTTCCACTTCAGAGTTAATGTGGCCTTTTTTATTTATAGGTAGTGAGAGAAACTGAGAGAGAGAAGAGAGAGAGAACAAGATAATGGGAGAAATAGAAAGAAAAAACTGAGAATAATAAGTAGAGAGAAGTAATAAGTGAGAGAGAAAAGAGAAGAAAACACAAAGAAAGAGAACGAAGAGTGAAGGAGAGAAAAAAGAAAAAGAGAGGAAAAAGAAAGAAAGTGAGAGAGAGAGAGAGAGAGAGAGAGAGAAAGTGTGAGAGAAGATCCTGACCTCCTTCTTAAAGTTGAGGAAGTAGTTGGTTTGGTCTATGAGGAATATCTCCAGTGCAGAGCGCCGCAGGTTATACCTGCGCAGGTGAATCTCTCTGATCTGAGACAGCGGCCACTTAAAGTCCTGCCCCACACCTGGACAACACACAGCACAGCGTCACTGCAGATAAACGCACTCCTACCAAACTCACTGGATTCCACACTCACACACACAGTGGTATGTAAAAGTTTGACTACCTTCAATCAAACGGCATTTTGTTGATTTTCTAAGGGAGAGCAGGTAAAACATCGTCTGCAGAGAACACACAAATATTTTCTGTGGACAATTTCTATTACTGTATTTAACATACTGTAATAAAGTAAAACAAAATGTTCCAGAACCCTTTTATTTTTTTCCAGTATGTTAAATACAGCAAATTAACAGTAACTGCGTATTAAATTGTGTAGAAGTGTGCTCTCTCTACAGGATGTTAACTTATTTTCACAAAAATCAACATTACGTCATTTGACCAGGGGTGCCCAAACTTTTGCAAACGACTGTACATATACAAATACACCAATCCTAAACAGGCTGCCTGATGACCTGAGATCTGCGTCCACTCTCCTCTCTTATAAAGGCAAAACTTTACATTAAAACGAGGCATTTAATTAGATAATTCTGTTTGCTTCGCCGTGTTCTGTTACACCTGCTTTTTTAATCTGTTTGTTTTCATCTCTGCTTTTCTCAGTTATCTTTTTTTTTACTGACTGAATCTGCCTTTAATGTTTTTATCTTTGAAATCTGTACAAAAGGTTATGAGCTCCATATGTTTCAGAGATTTACTTTGTAATATTTTCTTTCTTTTTAGGGAAACATTTTAGCTGCATTTCTTGTATGAAAAGTGTCCAAATAAATAAATAAATAAACAAATAAATAAATAAAGATCTTATTATAATAATCTTATTGTGTTGCCCCTCACCCTCTTCCTTTTCTGTGCTGCTGTCGTAGAAGTAGATGTGGTGTGTGGTGATGTCCAGACGGCCGGGGTAAACGTCCACCACAGTGACCAGCTCACAATCTTCTGACATCACCAGCTTCTCCTTCTGACTCGCATCTTCATCATCCGCCCTGGGGGAAGAAAGGGGAGGGGGGGGAAGAGAGAGAGAAAGGTGGGTGGGAGAGAGAGACTGAGAGAGAGAATATAAGGTTGAATACAAGTCTAAAACA